CACACGCAAACACACATGCACATACACCCTTGTGCACAAACTCATTTCCCTTCTTTCCCCTCCCTCCCTTTCTTCCTCTCTCTCCTTTTTCTATCCTCCCACTCCTCTCCCTCTCCCTTTCATTATTTCGCTTCTTAAGCTTTACCTCTCTGGGTCTCTGGATCTCTGCTCTCCTTTTTCCCCTCCCCTTCTCTTCCTTTCTTGCTCTCTCCCTCACTCCCTCTGTCCTGATGTCTACTCCTCTCAGCGCCGCCCCGCCCCCCCCCATGACGCTGTAACGGGCGTCCAGTACCTGCATTGCCTTGACCTCCGGGAAGTCCCCTGCAGAAATCTGGTATTCTCGCTGCAGCTGAATGTAGATTTCTGGCAACCTGTCGATAAGCTCTCTTTTCTTGTTTTCCTTTCCAAAAACACTCGGCATCTCCTTTTTCAGGTGGCTGATGATGTAGGCGTGTACCTGAAAGGGTACATGTCAGTGAGGACATGCCATTCAGAAGTGCACCAGGACAAACAAGAGGACATCTTATATGCATCACAACACACAGCAGGCACCCATGCAGAGCCATGGTCCTCGGGACCAGAGGAGGGCAGAGACGGGGAGATTACAGCCTGGTTCTGGATGTGTAGAATGTGAGGTATATGAGATACATAGGGGATTGTCTCAGGGTGAGTGGAAGGGAGAGCTGACCTGGACGATGGGTTTTAGAGCGGGACTTGAGGTGGTAGCAGAGCCACGGGAGTGGATGAGACCACTCGGGGAAAGTTAGCAGAGAAAACCCCACTCTTAAGGTTCAGGAGAGGAAAGAGGTGAAAAAAGATCTCGGGATGTGGAATGTGACAGATAAGGACTGTGGGAGGACAGATTCAGGGAAGAGGTGACATCTGAGTTGGGCCTTGATAAACAGGTAGGATGTGTGGGTGAGGGGAGGGATGTGGCAGTCTGGGGGAGGGAAGAACATGGATGGAGGTGTGGAGGCAACATGCTGGGCCATACTTGGGGCAGTGCCGAGTATGAAGATGCAGCGCAGGCTTAGAGGTGGGGAAGGTGGGCTGCATTTAGACTCTGCCTGGGGAACTAGGAGCTGATGGAGGATTTAGAAGGACTGCTGTCCTAGTACTGTGCTAAGGATGGCTCTGGGAGAGCAGGGAGACAGGAATAATGCCGAGAGCTCCCTGCTTTCCAGGGCTGATGCTGCCTGGCTGGGTATGGGTGGGGGTGAGGTGGGCTTGCACAGATTTCTTTTGGGACCCTGTCCTAAAAAGCATCCCTGAGGAAGGGCAACTGACATGGGGAAATTCTATAGCCATAGTTCAGTTGTGCCTCTGAGTGGCTGTTCCATGGGGAGTGAGCGGGATGGGTGGGGCATGGGTGGGAAAGATCTTAGTTCTGGTGATTAACCAGAAGACCTAAAGAGAGTTTCAGATACTAAGGCTTCTGGTCAAGATGGAGGCGTAGGTAAATGTAACACTCTCATCCTCCCACAGCTATATCAAAATTACAACTAAACAAAAGAACATCCATCATTCAGAACTAACTGAAATCTGGCTGAATGGAAGTCCTACAACTAGAGAATTAAAGAAGAAGCTGCCCTGGCCAGGTTGGCTCAGTGGATAAAGCGTCAGCCTGTGGAGTGAAAGGTCCCAGGTTCGATACCGGTCAAGGGCATGTACCTTGGTTGCAGGCACATCCCCAGTAGGTATGCAGGAGGCAGCTGGTCGATGTTTCTCTCTCATCAATGTTTCTAACTCTCTATCCCTCTCCCTTCCTCTCTGTAAAAAAATCAATAAAATATATTAAAAAAAAGAAGAAGAAGCCATATTGAGACTGGTAGGAAGGGTGGAGATGGGGAATGGGCTGATCCAAAACCCATAAGTGGCCTGTTTTTAATCTGGAGAAATATCTTGGCTGTGGAGGTCTACATGTGGAACAAGGGGTCCCAGCTCCACACCAAACACCTCAGCTCAGAGTTCCAGTGCAGGGAAGAGGAGTCCCCATAACTTGAGGCTGTAAAAACTAGTGGGGATTGTGACTGAGTGATATGGAGTATGTGGGAGTCCCAGGCAGTTCCTCTTAAAGGGCCCATGCACAGACTTATTTGGACTAATTCCCTTTGAGCTCCAGTGCAGCTTGAAAGCATCCAGGAGCATATAGGGAGGAACTAAATTGTGTGGCATTAGAGCAAGAACTCAGAGGCAGATTTTCCCATATAAAAGTTTTTGGACTTCCCTCAAGCCAGAAAGCTGACTGGCAGGTGCCATATCTGAGTTTCCATGAATCTGGCTCACACTGTTTGCCTGGCCCTGGTGACTCCCTGACACCCTACTCTACCCAATTTGCAGCCCCACCCAAGTTGTTGGCAGTGGTCTTTCCATATGAATAACCTGTCCTAGCTCAGGCTTCAGACTTTTCTAAAATCTCTGAAACAAGCAGCAGCTGGCCTCAGTGTGCCCCATACCTCTCAATAAGAGGCCCCAGGCCTGGAACTAGCAGAAGCCTGCTTTGGTTCACAACTTGGCCTCTCCTGGACATCTCCAAGCCCAAGAGAAGTAGCAACCATAGTTGTGGCGGCAGGCAAGATACAAGCAGTGGCTGACTTTGCACCTCCCATGAGGCCCCAGAGCCAGTGCATCCTGTGGTCAGCTTCAGACAATGCCAGATTACAACCCTACCACATCTGTAAGTGACACATTCAAGGGGAAAACTCTGAGAGCACCAAAGCCCCTCTGAAGCAAGTTCTGCTCCATGGGGGTGTCTCCTGCACAGCAGCTCTTCTGCTATAGTTGCAGCTGGTCTGCACAGCTGATTGGCCTAGGGGTCAATCCTGCCCAGTATGCCAACAATAAGCAAGGCTCAACTACAACAGGACAGGGCACACAGACCACAGAGGTTCTGCACTTAGAATTCCAGTTACTGGGGAGACTGAGCCACTGGGACCTACAGGACACCTACTACACAAGGCCACTCTACCGATGCCAGGAAACATAGCAGCTCTACCCAATGCATAGAAACAAACACAAGGAAGCAGCCAAAACAGGGAGACAAAGAAACAGGTTGCAAATGAAAGAACAGAAGAAATCTCCAGAAAAAAACCTAAATAAAATGGAAGCAAGCAAACTACCAGATACAGAACAATGGTTATAAGGATGCGCAAGGAACTTAATGAGACCTTCAAGGTACTTAGTGACAGCTTCAAGGAACTTATAGAGAACATCAATGGCATGAAAAAGGACCAGTCAGAAATGAAGGCTACATTAACTGAAATGAAGAATAATTTACAGGGAAGCAACAATAGAGTAGAGGATGCCAAAAATCAAATCAGTGATTTGGAATATGAGGAAGCAAAAAACACCCAATCAGCACAGGAAAAAGAAAAAAGAATCTAAGAATATGAAGATAGTGTAAGAGGTCTCTGGGACAATTTCAAGCAAACCAACATTTGTATCACAGGGGTACCAGAAGGAGAAGAGAGGGAGCAAGAAATTGAAAACCTATTTGAAAAAGTAATGACAGAAAGCTTCCCTTACCAGTGAAAGAAATAAACTTACAAGTCCAGGAAGTGCAGAGTCCCAAACAAGAGGAACCCAAAAGGCCCACACCAAGATACATCATCATTAACCAGTATTACATGAAATGTTAAAATGTCTTCTTTAAAAAAAGGAAAAAAAAGAATAATAAAATGTCAATAAATACATATCTATCAACAATTGAATCTAAAAATTAAAATAAACAAAGAATCTAAAACAAAATCACCTGATCAATAAAACAGAACCAGAGGTATGGAAACATGGAACAGACTGGAGAATTTCAGAGGGAAGGGGAGAGGGGAGGGCAAGAAGAGATTAATCAAAGAACTTATATGCATATATGCATAACCCACGGACACAGGCAATAGGGTGATGAAGGTCTGGGGTGGGGCATATCTGGGTAAAGGGGGGTTATGGGGAGGTTGGGAGGGGACATCTGTAATACCCTCAATAATAAAAGAAAAAAAAAAAGACTTTCATTAGGGCCAGTGCCCAAGAGCACCAGGAAACGAAACTGAAGCTGAGTAAATGGCTGATCTTCACAGAAATGTGTGCCCAGTAAGCAGTGAGATGAGGATACCCATAACCTTCTGGAGAACAGTGTAGTCTTCGAGATCTCCACAGGCCATTTCTGCACAGGACCAGCTGCCTGGGCCCAGGCTGGACAGCAGAAGCTCGGTTTGAGAGAGGGACCCCCAATACACGAGGGGGAGCCCAGAAACCCTGACCACACGGGGGTTGCTGACATGACTAGTAGTACCTGGGAGGTGAATCCTGCCTGGCCTGTGTCACCACCTTCCTTAACGTTTGCACTTTTCCACTGAGTTCCAACTTCAGGACATTAAGAAATGTTCTTTAGAAAAGTTCTCTTTGTGTATCTAGAATTCTACAGAGTGATTTAGAGTCAAGAAAATAACTAAAATAAGAAAGGATGGGAGAGAAACCAAGATGGCGGCATAGGTAAACACCAGAAATTGCTGCCTCCCACAACAACTTCAAAAATACAACAAAAAGACAAAACGGACATCATCCAGAACTACAGGAAGGCTGGCTGAGTGGAAATTCTACAACTAGAAGGAAAGAGAAAAGCACACTGAGGCTCAGAGGAGGTGCGGAAGTAAAGAGCAGAGGTACAGAGGCATGCGCCCACAGAAAGGGCTAGCAACGAAGGACACTGGTGTCTTCTTCAATTGGGAGGGAGCCTCAAGCTCCTGACTGCTCTGAACTCCAGTTCTGGGTGAGTCTCTGGGGACCCAGACTCTTATGGGGAGAAACTGGACAGTCTGGCATCAGTTGGAACTCGAGGGTGGCTTTCTCTCAGAGGTGCTTTCAGTGATTACCGAGACACTGAGAATCGGGAGCTCTTAGGGCAGGACTGAGGATCCACCATAGCTGTTTGCTCCGCCCTGTTGATCCCTGAAACCCCGCCCCACCCAAGCTGTGAGCAGAGGCTTTTGCATATGAAAGGCCTGGCCCTTTGCAATCTGAAAACTACCTAACAAACTGCAGCTGGGTCAGATAGACCCAGAACTTCCAAAAGAAGGCCCAAGGACCCACTGCAGCTTGCATTGCTTCACAGCTGGGCCTCATCTGGGCACTTCCAAACCCCAAACAAAGAAGAGGAATCTGCAGATCTCTCTGTAGCTCCTGCTGGGTGGCCTCAGCCAGTGGCTGACTTTGCACCTCCTTGGAGATCCAAGAGCCAGTGTACCCAGTGGTCAGTGTGAGACCATACCAAATTA